CCCCTTTGCCCTTCAGGACCGTCTCCCACGGGACTCTCTCAACCAACGTCCTGAACAGGCCAAAGTCCGCCCTCCGGAAGTCCATGGTTAAATCTACATATGTCATGGCCTAACCTTTTTTTTTTTTAAACTTCAGTTCCAAGTATAAGAACATCATATAAAAGGGTATCTAATGCTTTCAAACCCCTATTTTAAAAGTAGCTAAACGCAATTTAGGAGGAGCAGGGGAATGAACTGAAAAGTTATAAAAAATGCTATTGGAATTAAAAAAAGTATATACAGCCTTTTCCATGTGACCCAGTTACACGTAAATGAAATTAAATTACATTTTTCCTTGTGCATTTAAATGAGATAACAAATCAATAAAAAACCCCAAGCAATTCACGTGGTACTACATTATACTCCATCAGCAAAGGGGTTCCAATGTCAGTTGTCTAAGAAAAGGATAAGTCATTGTAAAGCTACAGTGGGTTCACCACCTATATGCTTTGAAAAATCTCTGTGCCCATGGTGCAGTGCAATTTGTAGCCTGTCAGACAGTCTGACGTAGTTCCATTGCTGACCTAAATTTTCATGACATACATGCAAAAATTTATCTAGAAATTATACATACAGTTTCATTAGAAAATAACAAAGGTATCTTAGTGTTAAGCCATTAACTGGGGGAGACAGATTTTTTGTACAAGTCTCACAGCTATAAATCTTACTGGATAATAATTTACAATAGCAGTAACCAAGGGACCAAAAATATGAACATTACCAAGTGGAAAAGGGATCTTAAAGACAGTGATAAATAAGCAGACGCCACAAAGGGAGGCTGCAAAGGATTAAATGAAATATCTATATGCTTGTGAAAAAAATATGGGGAATTACTCAGAGAACAGAGGGCTTCTGTCTAGATGGTCATATGTAATATCTGGAAAATGGAAACCTGCAAAACAAGAAACAAATTACTGGGAAACAAATACAATGTTCTAACTAAATTATCTAATTACTGTCCTTACTGTTACATAACCATGTTCTGCCAGGTGCTGAGTAATCCTTGGTTTCTGCCAAGCTAAGAAGAGCAGAGAGTGTTCAGCACCAGGCAGAAGATACTGAGCACCTTCAGTACAGAGAGTATGGCTCACGAAGGATAACTCAGGCTAATGGTATGGGAAGAATGTTCAAAGCAGTTAGCATTTCTCCAGCTCAGATCCTGTCAACGCCAGCTTCAAAATTATACTGTTCTACAGGCTCTTGCTGAATACTGTTAGCATCTTCTCTTACAGAAGCATTTCACTGCGGCTAAAGAGACATCTAGGGCTTCCAGAGAGTCAGAGAGTAGCAAGGAAAATGACATAAAGAAATATATAGTTACCACTCAGGGTTTAAGACAAGTTTTCAGAAGATAATGGTGTCTACAGAAATTGGGCTTAAAACCAAATACATAACTGTCCCTACAGTAACTGATAAGCCACCTTGGAGGAAAATCAGGTACTGCTATGAACCCCTGAGTGCCCAAGTTGACTCAAAGCACCAGGCTGTGCCTGAGCTACCTGATGCAGTAACAGCTTAACTATAATAATGCACTGAAGACCAGATATTCAGCCGTGCCTTCTATGCTCATTCAGCGTCATTACCGCCACAATGATCTTACGCTAATACAGCAACTACCTCTATATGTCTGCTACGCTGACCATGCTCTGGTCCTCAAATAAACCTTCTTTGTACATTAAGTACAAAGCCAGATCTCCACGGGGGGGAGACAAAACGTGACGCTTCAGAAAGCAGATGAGCATCCTGTCCTCCATCTTACTGCCAGGATGTTTTGCAGGTTGCACACAGCTCCACTGACTGTCCTGCAGAATGAGTGTGCCGTATCTACATGCATGGCTATGCTGCTGCTAATCACAAAACCACATTTTCTAGTAGAGCATTGAATATACAGCAGAGGTTCACAAATCCAAACTTATACAGGTCAAAGACCTGTATAAGCTATTTCTAGGTTTCATTTACCTCTTGCCGGTAGGTCAGAGAATGCTGTTGCTACCATTTACTCCTTCTATTCATGTGGGGATCTCTCTATTATCGTCCTACACAAAAAGATCAGCACATACACATCTGTTTGTTTTTTTAAGAAGAAGAAAGGACCTAGGAATTACCTTAAGAAAAGCACCCGTAAACCAACAACAAATTTACATTACAAGAACAATAACGTTACAGGAATGAAATGCTTAAACATTAGGTACTTCTGGAATGAGTTAAATGTCCAGTTCCAATTCAGCCACCTCATGGGCAAGCATAATGACACAACATGTATTATATCCTATTATATGAGCACATACTATTGCTGTACAAAACTTATCCTTCTTTCAGGGTATGAGATGAACAACGAACAAGTCACAAGAACAAGGCTACAAGACCAGAAACAAAAGCACTAACCTATGGCCCTGAAATTCTGGGTTCTCTTCCCAGCTACCAAAAATTTCCTGTATAAAGAGGGAGACTGCCCACAGGATAGCTGCACAGCAGTAACACCATCAGCTTTCATCTGTGTGCTTCTTCACAAGAATTTACTGGCAACCTTGAGGCACTTCTGCCATTTCTTGCAGAAAGCAGATCTGCTTTCAGCCAGATCACAGACATTAAATAGTGTAGAGGGGGAAAAAAAGGAGTAAGAGACCACCCACACTTGGAAAGTTTTCAGTCTGCAGGACAGAAAACACTCCTGTACACTACACACAGAAAGTAGCTCCCAGCAGTAGTGATCTTATCTACAAGAAAAGTGAACTACATTTTTATTCAAACCCAGAAAAGCCATAATGAAGTGTCACAAGAGAGAAGTGAGCCTAACATACAGAAATGCCAGGATTAAACAGATTTTTTTTTTTTTTTGTCTCCTGGAAGCAGATAACATATCCCTGAATTCTCCAGAAATTTTGTGTTGTCATAACCCCCTTTATAAGCTCCTCTGTGCTAAACCCACTTTATTCCTGTGCAAAATAAAGGTGTGTGAAAGGAAATTAACTAGCCAGAAACGGTTCAAGGTTTTACAGTGAAAGTGAATATAAGCTTACTGGAAAGGGAAACAATTAGCATGCCATGTGAAGAAAAGGTTAAATAAAAAAAGAAAGTATTGTGAAATAAATCAGCATGTTCTAACACCAGAAAAATCACTGCCATCTTCCAATGAAGTTATACGTGTTCCCACTTGCCAATTCTTCTTTAATTGCAGCTTCTCCTCTCCATGAGCTCTGCTCAAACTATTTTCCCTGCTTCCTCTCCTCACCTTCTGCAGCACAGCTATAACCTTCTCCTCTTAGAAGTGTAACCCTTACTTCACTCTTGCTTCCCTTCTTCAACCTCTCCAGATAGCCTGACTTTCATCACATCACCCTGCCAAACCTCTGATAACTTTCCAAATATGCAAAAATTTTATGTGAACAAACTAGAGTGAAAAAGAGGGTTAGCAAACTCCACCAATACTTTCGTGCAAGTACTGGAATATTTTAACACTTGAACAAATACTGTTTGTAATTACTTTTTCATGAACATTTCAGCAATAAAATTTCACTAGCTGCTCATGCTTGTGAGCCAGCATTTGCACTTCAACGAGTTCCTTTTTGTGTAGCTGTAGAAACATTCGTGTCAAAATGTTTCATTTCTCATCCAGGCAGGGAAACGTACCACACATTAACTCATCTCCTCAAAGTTAAGGAAGGAAT